TAGATAGATAGATAGATAGATAGATAGATAGATAGATAGATAGATAGATAGATATTAAAAGAACTGAGAGAATTAACTCACCTTTGCCTCCCAGAAAAAAAGACAATAAAATCAGTGCTAGGAGTATGCCAGTGGGGAGGAAATTCCACAACTAGGAGCTGCCACTGAAAAGCCAGCCTGGAAGGTTTTTCAGAGCAGCTTCTCCCAGAGATGAGCTTCAGGGACAGGTAGGAACGCACCGAAGAGGCATTTCTTCAGCTACTTTAGTTCATGTAAAACTAAAACACAAGAAAGGTCCAAGTGCCATTTTGACATAGAGGATGTGTATGAAACAATAATAAAGGCTTTTAAAGGCTATTCAGTATTGCTAGAACAACTAGATCTGTTTACTTAAATTAAATGGCTAAAAAGATTTTCAATAGGTATGTTTAATTTAAGTTTTTTTGGACTCTTCCATTCATACAAGTGTTGCTTAATGGACGAACACTGTTGCTTAGATCTGCAAGCTTTCTCTGCATAAGTACATTGTTCACTGGAAGCCATAATGCAAGCCGATTAAATAATCTTAAGCCAAACTCCTCTTGTACTTTTTATTTTTGGCACGATTCAACTATCGTCTTGCCAGGGCCGATACTGAAGACAAATTTGCACTGTTTCATAATTAAGCGCATGTATTTACATTTATGTACCAATCTTATCAACTGACTGAAGATGGTAACATTAGTGTTCTCATATTCACATATTTGCTATTCTGAGAGTTAAGGTAATTTGAAAATAAATTATTAAAATAAAAAAGCAGAACTCCATTGCAGTTGTCGGTACTTCTATATATTATAATTTCTTGTCCAAATCCTAGAGAGCTATTGTGCTGCAACAACCTTTCTGAATCTCAGAATTCTGGAAAAGACCAATGCAAGAGCAGGTTTGAAAACGTACCCTGGCAATATAGCAACTACACTCTCCCACTGTTTAAAGTCTAGTCTTTGCAACTATAGAGGGCACCATAGAACTGGTGAGACATTGCTGTGGTAGCTAGATTGAAATGCCTTTGCTCACCCAAAGGTAATAGCTACTTCCCTTAGCCCACCATGAAATATATGTGAATAAGGCCTGGTGATTCCACATAGTATGGCTAGCATGGAAGTGCCCGCAGATGTGGGTATATTTTTGCAGAATAGCACTGTGTACAAAACACTTAGTGTAAATATTGAACTGATTTGCTCAATTGAGACAAAGGGTGAAGCCAGTCCCATCTTGAAGTCATGACTCTCTCCTACATAGCGTTAATGATATTTATAGTGGCTGAATCTTGTGTGTTTGGACCTCCTAGCCAAATAGGAAGTTCGACACGGCTCCAGTTTATCTCCTCTCCTCTCCTCTCCTCTCCTCTCCTCTCCTCTCCTCTCCTCTCCTCTCCTCTCTTCTCTCTTCACCACTGCATTACCAAAGACTCTAAGCAGCTTAACAATTAACAACAGAAAAGTATAACCAGTAACATAATTTCACTTATTTCATGCCTCCTTTAAAAGGGGGATGTTATTCTGCCTGAAGCCTCCACTTTTTAGAGGATTAGGAGGGTTGCTTTTTCTAATACTCTACTTCATTACTAATTGGTTCATTTTCCTGTTTAGAAATAACTTACTACACTTAATGTGGTTTTACTAGGATAACTGCTGCACATCTTTCCTAAGTAAAGTGAGGAGAATACCTGGGAGATCACTGTCAAAATAACTTTATGGAAATTTTTGTTGTGTCTTACCCTGAAATTTATTAACACTGGGTTAATAAAAAGGAATACTGTTACAACTGTGTGGTCAATCAGTTGTATAGACAGTGGACTTGATTTTATAGTTGCAATGCCATGCTGATTTTAGGATATTTTTAGCTGTATTA